CTCTTGATAAATTGAATGATGACTTTTGCAGTCATTAGGGCCGTCACTACAGTGTTAACGCTTCAGTTAGTCTTTCATTTTTTACACGTTTAAGTTAGGCTATATTGGACCGTTTACATTTCGGCTACCTATGCATTTCCATGTTTTGGTTAGGTTATCTTGTGTCAATGCTTTTTAGACCAAATTGTTATACCAATCGAGAAAGACTATTATAACTATTTATTGTATAAAATTACAAAATTTTTCACGACTCTTGGAGTCGTTTTCCTGCAAACCAAAATATTCAGCCAGTTTTTGGCGGTGTGAAATAAATAAATAAATGAAATAAATAAGCTTTAATATAGCATACATTAAAAACTGAAATATGGCTGTTGTCATGACTTCATTTGCCCAAATGTCCACCAAACGCTCAAAAATCGGTTCAAAACTCGAAATTGCCCTTCAAATGAGTGATTTTTCCCACTAAACTAGCTTAAAAACGAGTTTACGTTATCCGCAGAGACACTTTAACGAAAATTAAAGCGTAAAATATGGAAAGATATACAGATATTTGCATGTGATAGGCCAAAATTTACAAGAAAATGACCATTTTTGGTACCAAAGAGTGATTTTGAGCCAAAAAGGTAGATAGAACATGATTTTTCTGGATTATTATGTTAAGCAAAGTTGTCCAGTTATACGTTGGCTACAAAATTTCTGAAGATAGTGGCCATAAAAATTGAATACGTTGCGAGTTACGGTTGAAAAATTGTAAAAAATGGGCATTTTTGCGATTTTGAGGCCCTAGATGCCTTTTTTGGGGTAAGTTTGTTCTGTTTTTTTTTTCTCTCATTTATAACCTACAACTTTGCTCAAGACACAACAACAATATTCCTTACGGTTTACCGAGATATAGCCGTCCCAAAATGTGGAAAAAGTGCTCAAAATCCAGTTTGAGCAAAAAATACATAATTTCATCAAAATTCAACAGTCAACCAAGTTGGCAAAACGAATGATGCAGAATTTCTAGTTTTGGTAAGTACTTTCAGCAGCGATTCTCAAAAGTGAGTCCCTCCTCCATGACCGAAAAAATGTTGCACTGTGTTATATAGCATACGCATGCATTGTTTCAGACGTAAACAAAGAGACAAAATAAAACAAAATGAATAATAATCGAATTTATACCAATTACAGATGGATCGCCTGATAAAAGTCCAAAAGAGCTCATTCTGAAAAATATTTTCAACGGATGGATTTTTGCACGATTTCTACGCAGATTTTCACTGTTTTTAACACAATTTTCTTCAAATTGACAAACTTCTATCGGAGTGTTTTTTTTATCTTTAGAATGCATATGTCACAATCATTCAGAAATAAAATTATGGGTTATGCACGGTTGTATATGTCAAACGATCTATTGGCAAGTGTTGCCCCAAGAGTTCCACACATTTAGATGCAATGGAAAAAGTCTAACATTTTAGTCAGAGATGGCGTCAGTCGACAATAAACAGGTTTTGTTTTGAATTTTTAAAGAATTTGAGAAAAACTCAAACTGTTGAAAGTGAGTAATTTTTCATAATGTTAATTCAAATTATTTAATTTAATATCATGTCGAAGATTTCTGTGTATTAACAAACTCAGAGAAAATCTGCTATTTTCAAAACAAAAAATTCACTCACGGAATCAATAACACGTGCCATAGAAATTTTCAACCATTCCATCCATTCAAAAAGAAAGAAGTGTTTATTATTGGCCGATTCATCGGCCACTTGGCGACCCTAGTTCACATTAATGTAGTTTGTGAGCGGCGAAGAAAAAGCATTGTGTTTAGTTTGTTGTTGTTGTTGACTCAAAATACCATCGTTTTTGTTTATTTCAAGAGCTCTGATATATTGGATTTATTAGGAGGAATGTTTTTTATTGTTCTTTCTAGAAATACCGATATTCATCCCCGAATAATTTTGAAAATTTGGAAATAAATATATAAGCTGTAATAGATGCGAATGAAGAAAACAGTTGCTGTAGTTCAACGGAAAATGTGTTATATAGTATTTGAATTTATATTTTTTAAAAGGAAAGTATTTTTTCTTCGCAGATTCTTTTGAGTTGAAAGTAGGAAAAGATGTTAATTGTGGATTTCTCTACCGGAATCTTCCCCCATTCCTACGAATGTGAAAAAACTTAAGTTCGTTCACTGTATCTGTATGTTTGATTTTTTTCTCAAATTTTCAAGTTTCTCCTTCAAATCTAAAAGGATTTTCACTTCTTCTTGAACAACATTCTTTTCAGCTTTTGATGCCTTCAACTCTCGGAGTTTGCTCCCTTGTACTGCAACCAACTTCTTCATGTCTTCAATGGTTTGAATATTGGCGTTCTTTTCCGAGGTGTGTTGCGATTCTTCTTGCGATCCTCCATATCGTCTCTTCAATTCTTCTAAACGCGATTGTTCAATTTTTTCGAAAAGTGGCACTGGTTTTCCAATTTTATGGCCCGCCTTGAGATGCTGTTGTAATGCAGGTTTACTAGAAAAAAAAACGTTAGTGTGGTAAGTAATTTTAACTCGAAAGAAACCTAGAATACTTACTCAACATCCACGGGAATACGTTGAATGTTAAGCTGACTACAGATTCTACGTGATGTTTCCGGCATGAACGGAGATAATAAACTAGCCAAAATGCCTGAAAAAACAAAATATGTTCGAAAAACCTCTTTCTATACAGTTTAAGTCTAAGGCTGTGAACATGGTTTTTTCAGTCTGAAATTTTATATCCGTTTACTGAGTTTTCATTCAGATTGGGAAACATTGATTTGTAACTTTATAATATTTTCTAGTTCAAAGGTTGAATTTGGAGATGAACAGTTTTATAGAAAGTATTGAAAAAATTGGGCACTGCCAAAAAATATTTCGGGTGGGAGTCACAAAATCAAAATGGCCCAATCTTAGCTGGCTCAGCAAAACTCAGCAAAAGAATATTATACAGCTACGAATGGAAAAGTGGTTATTTTGGGAAGACCTACATGCAATATTACAGCTAAACGAAATGATTGTTGCTGCCCGTTTCTTCTCTTCCTCAGAACCCTTAAGCAAAACCCATGGCTGTTGCGATTGCAAATATTGATTTCCATTGCGAGATATAGACATAGTATGACGAATTCCATCTCTTAATTTACCCTTTTCCATGCAAAATATATAGCCTTTGATTTCACGATTGATAAGTGCCAATAAATTACATTCGACATCCGAAAGTTGAATGGCAGAAATGGTAGAGTTAAAGTTTTTCTCGCAAAATACCAGTGCTCTATTAATAAAGTTGCCCAAATTATTCAATAATTCAGAGTTATTTCGTGCAATCAAATCATTCCAACTGAAACTGGAGTCTTGAGCTTCGGGTCGGGCAGCGGCCAAATAGTAGCGCCAAACATCCGCTGGAATACCGGTGTCTTGTGCATCATTACCAAATACACCAATGCCCCGACTTTTACTGAATTTTCCGTCTTCATAGTTTAAATATTCCGTGGCCATGATATGAGTAACTTTAGTGAACCTATTTTTCATTGCTAATAGCATTGACGGCATAACTACAGAATGAAATGGAACATTGTCTTTGGCCATAAATTGAAACAAATCAATTTTAATATTTTCATTTTTTGGTTGCCACCACTGTTTCCATTCTTTCGTATATCTACTTGTTATAGATATATAGCCGAGCACCGCATCAAACCAAACATAAAAAACTTTGTTTTCGTACCCTTCCAAGGGTACTGGAACACCCCATTTCAGATCTCTGGTTATACAGCGTGGTTTCAGGCCCTCTTTCAACCAGGCTTTCGTAATGACACGTGCATTATAGGTCCAGGAAGATGATACAGAATCCACATATTCGGTTAATGTGTCTTCAATCTTCAAGAAATAATTAATTTTTGGTAAAGTATCGGTTCTATATAATTGATTCTGATTTTTGGGGCTAACCTTAGGTAAGTCCAAGAAAAATTGTTTCGATGCACGAATTATAGGAGCTGCGTTGCATATTTTACATCGTGGTCGTATTAATTCTACAGCATTTATTAGCTTTCCGCAACCATCACACTGATCTCCTCTAGCGTCTTCATAGCTACAGCCAGGATGGGGACAAGTTCCTTCAACAAACCGATCAGCCAAATAACGGTCACATTTCTGACACAATAATTGATCCACCGATTCCTGTTTCAAATATCCCGTTCCATGTAGCTCTTTGAAGAATTGTTGAACAATCCTAGAAAACAATAATCGAAGAATAATAAATGATATAAAACAAGCGTCATATAGCTAGCGTCTTACGTTTTATGCTCAGCTGCTGAGGTACGTCCAAAATAATCAAAACCAATACCAAACCAACGATAAATGTTATTGTGAATATCAAAATATTTATCACAAATTTGCTGGGGAGTCAAATTCTCTGCAAGAGCCTTCGTTTCTGTTGCTGTTCCATATTCGTCAGTGCCACCAATATACAATGTCGTATAACCAGCAAGCCTCGAATAACGTGCAAAAATATCTGCAGACAAAACACATCCAATAATATTCCCCAAATGAGGAACATTATTAACATAAGGCAACGCTGAAGTGACCAGAATATTTCTTTGATTCGGTTTAGGTAGAACTGTTTTTGGTTCAGCAACTGTTGCAGATTCTATAAAAATGAATGAATTTTTGGCAAAGGCTAGTTCAGCTTCAGTTATGGTTTCAGAAATGTGACTTGGTGAATCGTCCAAACCACGACATTCGTTTTCAATAATAGGTACTTCAACACGAATATGAGGTATACCACCAAACTTGTTGGCTTTAGATACGGCGGATACATCGATTTTCATCTGTTTTAGATTTAAATTCAATGCCATTATACATGGTTCAGACGCAACACGATTAAACCACTCATGAACTCTGGGCAATTTCAATGTAGTCTTGTCTTGCGCTAAGAAACTCCAAATACTAAAGTCAGCTGAAGTTGGTTTCGATCCAGTTAAAAATAATGTGTTCCTGTCAGTCAATTGAAGATCCAATTGTAATATCAAATGATTCAACACAGCCTCTGCTTGTGCCTGTTTTGGATGTCCGATCATATTTTTTGATATTATTGCTGGAGCCAAGCGCGTTGAACTCCACTCTAACCACTAACATTTGACATGAAAATATTTAATTAGATCATTGTATTAACCATAACATATTCATATCCATTCTATTCTTACTTGGTCTCTCAATTCAATAGGTTCTTCATTTGGTAGCAGATACTTGATTATTGCGTCAGTTGAAAAAATGTAATTTCCATTATTCAATTCCAACAATGGGAAATGCGGAAAACTATATTTGTTGAGATCTGACAAAAAAAAATCTCATATATTTATATATTTTGTCTACATTATTTTTCTTTTACAATGAAATTTCGATTTTGAGGTTATGTTAACGACTTCTGAAATGAACGAACTATAGATTTGAATGTATCTTATATTGTTGAGACTTATGATTGATTTGAAGAAATGAATATTTCTTTTTACATTCGTCTTTGAAAAAAAAAATCTTTCATCAACAATATATACCTGCTGAAGTAATCTCCTTGATAACAATGTTGGATCCGGCCAAGCGAACGCAGATCTCCACTTTTAATCCATACGGATTTCCCTTATTGTTATAAATAATCATTTTTTTCTTTCCAAGTTGAAATCGTTTATGATATTCAGAAATAATTCAATTAGAATTTTTATGACGGTGCAGAAGCGATAAATGGTGACACGATTAATTGAAAAAAATGTGAACCTCAATGATGGTTAGAAATGACATATGTCAAAAATATCCTCATGGATATCTGACATTTCATACTAATGGCATAAGGTGTCGATGTAATATTTTAAGTCGGAATATTTTATATCAAACCGACGAAATTTCTTGTCACCACCAAGCGCTCAAAAAATGAATACGGTTTCAATAAAAGACTGATCTTTCCTTAATTTCTTTGAATTGATGGATAGGTCCAATATTTGCTCAAAATATCAGCTAATACTTGTCGAAGTATATAACTAAATTTCACATATTTATATTAGGCTAAGACTTGCCAATATTTTTAAGATAATGTCAATAATAATAATAATAATAATAATCTGATCATCACCAAGTCGGTATATTTAAAAAACAAAGAAGTTCGGAATGAATTCATCGCCACTGTTTCGAAAGATAGGAATTGCGTTTATAAATGGGCGAGCACTAAGGTGCCTTCGTCAATCATGCCTGCTGTGATTATTTAAAAAGAACATAACCCGGGGCACTACGATGCTTCCAAAAATTGAGCTGTACACAATTGAAGAGGAGAAAGACTAATCTTGAAAAACGTTTATTAAATGCAGTTGATGTCTTGGGTTTGTTTGTGATTTCCATTCGCTGCCATACGTCGTGCTAAGTACATGACCTGAACTTGTTTTTGACATACAGCAAAGAGAAAAAAAATAAGAATTTCAATCAGCCATAACAAAAAGAGTGCACCCAATTTTCATCAGCATATTTGTTCAACACGTTTTACTCAATTTGAATCAATAAATTTTCGCTTAATTTAATTTGTAAATTGAAATAAATAAAATTATCTTTTGATCATTACTTTCGAACTAATTTATTTTATTTGTATTTCGAAAATTGGCTCTGATAAGAGGAGACACAATTGTTATTGGAAACTCAATACAAATACACTAAGTTGAACTATGCACACGCCTGCTCGATATAACCTGCAATAGTAAAAACTGTTGTCGTGAATAATGAACACTCTGAAGGAACTAGAAATCGCTAATGAAATTTGTTGAGGTTATGTCAACCAATGAAAAATTGATGAATTTAAGAAAATTCAATTACGTTTGGCATTTATTGTTTCTTAAGCTGATGTCTGAGAACCAAAAATGGCAATGCAAGTCCCGACCCAAAAAAAACAGCAAACCAAGCAGTCAAACGATAAATGTTTTTCATTTGAAAGGGGAGATTCTGTAAAGAGACAGCGAAAAGTATTACAAGATAAAAATTATGTAATATATATGAAAATTAAAATAAAACAAATTTCAATACCTCTCCAGGAATACCGCCGGGAGAATGATAATACTTCACGGCATTTTGTGGGATTAGAAATTTGCGACTCAAAATAATCGAACGTCCCAACATATTTTCACAGAATATTATTTGTTCAATCTGTAGAAGAAGAGAAGAACTGAACTGAACAGAACAGATAGAATTTATCACGTAAATTATTGACAGATAATGACATAAAATATGGCGACCATTTATGTTCATATGGGAATTTCAAATTATTTCTACCAGATGTCACTCGAAAATTTATTTTTATCAATTCATTAATGTAAAAATTGCAAAAAATGGTTAATCATTTTCGAAATATTTGCTAGTATTTGCGATAACTATTTGACCCATTAGTAAATTTTAGTACTAATCAATTTCAAATATGGGACGTTATCATATATGCTTATGTGATGACATTATTTTCAAACAACAAACATTTTCTTCTTTCATTCTACCCACAATTTTCATTTTCATCTCATTCGAACACAAACACACAATTCTAATCGCTTGTTCATTATCTATACGTTATCTATAGTTTTTTCCACACGTCGTTGATTATATGATTTTACTGTTTTTGTATAAGAAAATTTTGTAGACGTCATGATGCTACATTTTTAATCACATCATTGGCCAGTCAGAATTTATTTTTACATTATAGATACATTAATAAAATGAAGACGAAACTTGAGTAATACGCATATCATTTTCGCTGTTCCAATCAGTTATCTACTTTTTTTAATCGCATAATATATTTGTGGTTTTGCTTTGGAGAAAATAAATTTTTGAGATTATTCATTTCATGAAAGATGATGATGCGACTCTCCTCTTTCGGATTCATGAAGTCCTGTAAGCGATTCATGCAATTTGACACGGCCAATAAAATCGAAACTAAAATCGAGAAATCCAGAAAGTACCAGGTAAAGTATTTTATGATAATTGAATATAATATGAAATTCATTGTCATTGTTTTAGGAGAATTTTGAACACATGAATACTCTGGTTGCAAATTTGAAGAAACGGACAGCAGATGCTTCACACGGAGGCAGTGTTAAAGACATCAAACGACATATATCAAACGGGAAACTTTTAGTGAGGCATCGAATTGAACGCCTAATCGATCATGGTTCGCCTTTTCTCGAACTAAGCCCATTGGCTGGGTATAGACTCTATGATGATAATGAAATAAACTGTGGTGGAATTTTAACTGGAATTGGGAGAATTCATGGCACTGAATGTATTGTTATTGCAAATGATGCCACTGTCAAGGGTGGCACATATTATCCCATTACAGTTAAGAAGCATTTACGTGCCCAGGAAATTGCTTTAGAGAACAATTTGCCTTGTATTTATTTGGTAGATTCAGGAGGTGCATTTTTACCTTTACAATCGGATGTGTTTCCGGACAAAACACATTTTGGTCGAATTTTTTATAATCAAGCTAATATGTCCGCACGGGGCATCCCACAGATATCAGTTGTAATGGGCAGTTGTACTGCCGGTGGAGCATACATTCCCGCCATGGCTGACGAAAGTATTATTGTTAAAAAAAACGGGACTGTGTTTCTTGCTGGACCACCTCTCGTGAAAGCTGCTACAGGTGAAACGGTAAGCACTTTAGTAAAAGAAATATTTGTGTAATATTTTAATGAGTGCGCCATTCCAATGAGTAGTAGAAGTTGAGGAATTCTGGGTTATGGGGAATTGCTGGTCACCACAATTTCTTTCCCCTAATTGGATCGTTCGACATTCTGAAATGACCATCTTCGTTTCGTATTAGTCCAATCTCATCTTTCCATTACCCATTCGACGCGTGTGCTTGTATTGTTAGCTCTCTGAAAATGAGGTCCCGAATATTTCTATTGACTGTTCGGGTGTGCATGTGTTTGCATTGGTTGCATAAATAATTTCGAAAAATCAACTTAGACAAATATGTTCTTAATTATCGTATTTTTATTTGTTTATTTATTAACACCGCCAAAAAACTGGCTGAATATTTGGTTTTGCAGGAAAATAACTCCAAGCAGAGCATTGAAGTTGCTGGCTATGTAGCGCTGCTGGTGAACAGATCTGTTCAACAGCAGCTGCTGGTTGCGTGCATATTCGCTGTGACGCGCGCTTGTTCATTTAACAATTCTCACACATAGTGTTTGTCCCTTGCATTCACAAGGAAACAGACAGAGAAGCGTATACAACAGACTCCGAAAGAGATTTTTAACTTCTTCATTCACCGTTATTTGTCAACAAGTCTGCCTATATCCACGCATTGCCACTTTACATAGTATACAGTCAGTGAATTTTTTTTGCTCCGCCCTGGTGCAAAAATTTCTTAGCGCCCTTAACTGAAACAGTGGGGCAGCCAAACATGATTTTTTAAATGACACAATTTTCGAAGAGCATGCAAAATTTCTCCCAGATTCCATAAAAGGATCTGTAGAAACTATATGCTAATGATATCATTACCACAACGATGTTGACAGATTTTGTAGACATTTAAAAGTGGCGCGAGAGGAATTTTCTTTGGTGTTTTCTATTCTTGAATGCTATTTTTCATTGGCTTATTACAATATATCTTTCTTTTCGGATTTCATTTTTGGAGCACAAAAACACGGAAGTGTTTTTTAGTAATTTATAATTCAAATCGAAAAAGAGCGTCGAAGTGCCCGAGCGCCAGAAGTACTGTCATGTAGAGACAATAGAACCCCGCGCACTTACTTCTCTCGTTCGATTTGAATTTAAAATAACTGAAAAAAATTCATATGGCGCTCGAGCGCCTTCAGCGCTCCCGTGCGTCCTCAAATCGTTCGCACTCTGGTGCATTGCACCACTCCGCTCCCGGTAAAAAAAGTCCCTGTGTAGAGTCCATAAGAAATGTAAAATGTTCGCCATTTAGTTTTATATTGCCAATGCATTAGTTATGGCGATTTTTGTTTTGTTTATTTTTTGTTGTTTGTAAACAAATCTTCCTATTTTTTTGCATTGTCTCTGTGTATTTCTTATGGACATATACTATGTAAAGTGGCGATGCGTGGATATAGGCAGACTTGTTGACAAATAATGGTGAATGAAGAAGATAAAAATCTCCCTCGGAGTCTGTTCTATATGCTTCTCTGTCTGTTTCCTTGTGAATGCAAGGGACAAACCGAAGGTCCTGCATCTAAGCGTCTGACTAAAGGTGTCAAACGGACGGACTGTCCGTCTTTTTAGCCCGTCCGTCCGTCCGTCCAGGGCTCTTGAATTTTTTTTTGTCCGTCCGTCCGTCCGTCCAGTGCCGCTAGAAATTTTCTTGTCCGTCCATCCGTCCGTTCAGCTACGGTCGGACGGACGGACGGGCAAGAAAATTTCTGGGGGTCCTGAACGGACGGACGGACGGACAAGACAATTTTTTGGGGGCTCTGAACGGACGGAAGGACGGACAAGAAAATTTCTGAGGGTCCTGAACGGACGGACGGGCGGACAACTAAATTCAGAAGGCTCTGAACGGACGGACGGACGGACGGACGGACATGCAAAATTCTCATACAATATTTTTCACGATTTGAAGAAAAAAAATTTATTTAGGGGAATGTAACCGGTTGTGGGACGGGTTTTGTAACTTTGCCAGAAAAAAATTTCTATCATATATTTTTTCGAACCCTATATACCGTTCGAAAGGTAATCATCAAAGCTCGACCATTCCATACGAAATCAAGGAAAATCTCCATCATATTTCCTAACAAAGCTGGAATATTTTTGCTAATATTGGGTGTCCTTAGGGAGATATAGGGGCTCAAAGTTGAGCAGATCGTGAAAAAATCGATTTTTTGGACAGCTGTATCTCTGCTTGGCGTTAGAATTTCGATATAATTTTTTCAGGGTTTGTACAGCTTGTCGAGCTCTATCGATTGGGAGTATTAGCCACCTGATCTGGGTGGGTCCACCCATACCAGAAATCGGTTCCAAAGTTTGGATCAGTGCTAGCCACCCGGCGCCAGGGGTTTTTATGAATTTTTTTCGTTTTTTTTACCAGATTTCAAGAGCCCTACACGATGGTATAGTCGGCCAAAATAGGCCGGTACCAAAATTTGCATTTTTTTGTTAACACAAATGAGAGATCGGACAGAATTTTCACGTTTTTGCCCGAGAAAGTCGATTTTTAGACCAGATACGACACCCAGACCAGCATACAAATTAATTTTACGTCAAAATAATAGGGACACCTCCACACCAGAACACATGGTTTAGCTCATTTTCCATGTGAAAATATCATTTGAAAGTGAACAGTGCCGAAATGTCTTCGAATGATCGAATTGTGCAGGCCGCGCTAGCGTCCTATCTAAATACATTATAATGAATAAGTACAAACTAATACATATGCATTTCTACTATGAATACGTTTCATGCTATGTGTTTTAATTTCATTTAATTTTGAAAATTGAAAAAAAAAATATTTCTCGACAAATCATATTTTAAAACATCATTGCAATAAAAAAAAACTTCCAAGTAAGAATGAATATATTGATATTGAGTAAGAAAATTCGGTGAAATCGGTGAAATCGGTGAAATACTTGAATCAAACATAAACGTTTGAAAAACGTACGACGCGCGCCAAAGCATAAGTGATGTCAAAGTGTGTACAAAGAGTGAAGCAATAGTGCGTTTAATGCTATGTGCTATAGTGTCTCTGTTGATGTTGATCGCTGACGTTTATAGTGGTAGGAATTATGCATACAAAATCGCTTATATGACACACTAAACTCACTTCCAACGACTTATGGCTGGTTCATATCCACCTAATTTTCGACGAGCAATCGATTTAGAGCACCACTGATGCAATCTGATCAGCCTAGGGTATCGAAAAATGCCTTTGTTTCGACCAATGTTTTCAACTCGCAATATTTCATAGTAAAAATTTCAATTTTGTACCAAAATATGCATTTTTTGATGTTTCTATCATAAAAATAATGAGGTTTACGAACAAAAGAACATTATTTTGTTTATCATTTTGCTTTTAAGTGGGCATTTTTATGCGAAAACTCTTTTAAAATTCACATTTTGGTTCGAATACACCGAATATGTATTTTGTTGGATACATTGTGAATTTTCAAGTGGATTCCGTTTCAATTGAATTGGTTTGAATCTAGGAAGTAAAATCGTTTTTCATCTTTTATACCCGCACGCATCAAGTAATAACAATATTCATCGTGAACGACAAATGAATATTACTGAATATACATAGATATGTCAAATTTACGTGTATACGTATGAAAAATAAAAATATTAGTGAATCAAACCTTCAACCGTAAATTTGAACGATTTTGGTAGATAACGGTGAATGTTGGAACATTTTTTGACATTACAGTCTAATGAATATTATTAAATATACATAGATATTTGAGATTGACGTGCATACCAGTAAATTAGTGCAGATGGTATAGTCAAAAAATGTTCCAATATTCACCGTAATCCACCAAAATCTGCCAAAATCCTTCAAAAGTGCTTCAAATTTTCGGTTGAAGGTTTGATTCACTATTATTTTTATTTTTTCAGAGTTATTTGCGTTCTGTAAAATCGCGTGAAGCCCCTAGGTTTGAATGTTATGTTACATGCGTGATCAATATTAAAATACAGCAATTTAAACTCAATCAACAGATTGTTATGTTTATTGAAAATTTTGGTTTTTCTTCATCGCTAAATGAATACAAATGTTTGTTTTTATAATATTTTATGTTGAAAAAAACTGAGTTAAATTCAGATTTGAAATGATTCTTTAAGGAGTCATATTGTTTTGAAATGAATATGATTATTATTTTTTCAATATTGAAACGGTTTCAAAAACGTCGCTAGCGGAATAACGGCGAACATCGATAACACCTTCAGCAACTGGCTTGAATGAATGGTACGACTGAGTTACAACCAACGTTTTGATGTTCTCGTAACAATTTCCATTTTCATGTTCCTGAAAAAAAAACGAAGAATCGAAAGTTGTCTACATGTACTGCTCAAACGAAGACTACGAGAAGACATTACAGGGAAAATGCACACCTATAAAAAAAAACGGTAAATCATAAAATTGCAAATCGCACCCTAGAAATGAAATGTAGTGACCATAAGCCATCCAAAGCAAAAACAAAATCAAAATAAATAGTCTTACCTCCGTAAGACGAACTTTTCCACACCGTTTTCATAGCGTTCAGCTTTTATTCAGATTTTGCCTAGGAAATTTATAAGAATTTTCAGAAAAAAACAACAGTACGTTCATGTATTTTATGGAAAATTGTATTATGATTCCGAGAATCTTGATGTTGGGTATTCAAATGAAATAAAACGTCGTAGTCTGAATACTGAAACTTTATTCAACTTCTTATTTTCTAAGCAGTTTTTGGCTTAAGATTTACCTCTCTTTCAAAAATGCAAAATAATCAAGTATTGAAAAAACTGAACTTTAATCAAATCAGTCAAATATTTGGAGAATGAACTTTGGTTTTAATTAAATCAAAAAATGTGAACGGAAATGATAAGCTATCTCGACAAAATGTTAAATAAGCAAGTTGAATGAACTGATTTTTTTGTTTCTTTTTTGATGAAATTAGACAAAAGTTACCAAACCGAAATCAATTGGTCATTATTGCGATGCAACACTTGAAAACAAGTATCCAAAAACTCAGACAAAAACAAAAATGTGTGTATTATTTATTTTGGAAACAGTTGTTCATTTGTTTCGTATATTCTTTTGTTGTGGTTTCTTAGTTCGCTGGTCTTTTTAAAATTGTCTGTTTCGTGCTGATTGATTTTTGGATGGTTTGTTGTGGGGTTGTGTCCCAAAATGATGGTTGTGGCGTATGCAATCGAGAAAATGCCACAGGAACATCCATCTGGTTGCAACGTTGCCGGTTCGATGAATTGATATTGTGTTCCGGGGTACAGGCGAGTGAGGATGTTTCGTTGATATACGTCCAATCTTTTGCCATGATTGCCCTCCCCGTGTAGACTGTATAGTGAACTGTGGTGTAATGACCAAGAAAGCTGGCCTGGCCGCTGTATATTATTTGCAGATCGTCTCGTTCGGCTAGAAGTCGTTTGTATTGCTCTTGTTTTTGTCCATAGCAGACTGGATGCATGTTGAATGGTATGGTTCTGTTTGCGTTCACCAAATTTATAATGAACATATCGATTGACAAATCATTTAAGAATTCTGTTCCAACAATTTGATTTGTGACTGATTCCAGATCTGTATTCTTTGTAGTTTCACACAAGTCTCCGATTTCGTAGTAAAATCCATCCTCTTCCAACTCGGGAAAATCCACATTGTTGAGAATAAATGAGGCTTCAGAGGCGCCATCACACTCGCTATCAGAATCACTATTCAATACCGATTGGATACGGAAAAGGTGGGTTAGCGGGTGCTAGGTTGTTCCTGGGCCCCTATTATTTTGATGAAATAAATCGAGTGGGAGTGATAAAATCCACCTGGGAGCCTATTTTGGGTACCTCCTGAACAAAAGTTCGATTTTTTAAGGAATTTTGAACTAACATATCGATTTAATACCAAAAAGGTGGGTTAGAGGGTGCTAGGTTGTTCCTGGGCCCCTATTAATTTGATGAAATAAATCGAGTGGGAGTGATAAAATCCACCTGGGTAGCCTATTTTGGGTACCTCCCGAACAAAAGTTCGATTTTTTGAAGGTTTTTTATAGGCTAGGTGGATACCTCTGGGGTACATCTGGGGTGGCTGAAAATTTAATGGTTTCCAAGTCTAACGAAGCACAAACGTTTGGTACTTCCAGAATTTCTTTTCCTATTCTGGTATTTGAGCAATCGCGCTAACAAATTTTTGCGTACAGCGTACAGCGTACAGCGTACAGCGCACAGCGTACAGGGTACGACACACCCACATTAACATAGCAAAATAACCACTGTATCGTGCTTTTTGGTGTTGAAAATGGATAGAAAAATGGTTTTTCGGGGTACCTAGGTTTTGGAGTGATTACAATACTTTTACTCACGACATGGGCGTGCGAATATATTCATATTCCAAAAAGTTCTGTAAAGTAAAGTTGTGCCATTTGTTCTAATTCATTTCATCCATTTTTGAGCTTCTATAGATTGAATCGAAAGAGTTTTTCAAAAGAGACTCTTTCAAAAGAATCTTTGCAAAAAAATTCAATATTCTGTTGAAAATTGCGGCTGTAAACTATATTCAAAAGGTAGGTTTTGATTTATATTTTAATACTATGGAGAGAAAAAACTAAAACAATCGTTTATTTTAAATTTTATTGAAATAATTGATTTCATTAAAACGATCATTTTGACAATCGTATATATACCAAGTATGGCATGAAGTTGCAGCGAATGGTAAAATGTCAAAAATCGGTGCACGACGTTTGCCAAAATATGGATCGAACGGAATCAATTATTTCAATAAAATTTAAAATAAATAATTTTTTTTTGTCTTTTTTCTTCATATAAATCAAAACCTATTATTTGAATATAGTTTACAGCCGTAATTTGAAACAGAATATTGAATTTTTTTGCAAAGATTCTTTTGAAAGAGACCCTTTTGAAAAACTCTTTCGATCCAAACTATGGAGGCTTGGTTTGGAAAATTCAAACACTGCCTATACCGCCAATTTCTCTGTGCAGTTTTTACGTCCGGTGCTAGTCCGAATGATGTTGCATAACTAGCGCCATAACTTCAGACGACGGCAAAGTGTTTGGAACTATTGTGTACGTGTGCACTGTATGATTTGTCATCTTAAGCATAATAGAGCATAACACAATCAAGGCAGAAGACAGCAGGCTCTTATAGGGCACAATCACCGGACGAGTTTTTCTTATTTTTTTCTAAAGTTTCTTGCCCAGTTTTTTTCAAATCCCAGTTTCAAAAATTAAAGCCGGATATAAAATTAAATCCGGAGCACTTGGAACGGATATAACTATTATATGAAAATAACCTACATTGTACAAACACGAAAAGATCAGGTTTTTCATGACACTTGGAATCATTTTCCTGCAAAACTGAATATTCAGCCAGTTTTTGGCGGTGTAAATAAATAAATAAATGTTGCGATATGAATTGGCTCACCCGTTTACTGTCAAATTTCAAACAATTGTAGAGCGCCGTGGATTTCGTACGGCAAAATTCAGTACTACTTGGTGTGATTTTCTGGTATTTCACAATATGTCGAAATCACTTACGGCTATTTCAATCTCAATCACACCAATTAGTACTGAATTTTGCCGCACGAAATCCACGGCGCCTCACAATTTCACACTTCGTATTCTGTATACAATAAATGCGAGATTATAAGCGTGTGAATTGGCTTGATGCCAAACTTATTTTTTAGGCCAATTTTCGAAAACTGATCGAGAATTTTAAATTTCTCAAACAATTTTTTTTGGAGCAGTCTACACACAAAAAGTAAATTCAGTAAGATCGCAATACTTCTGGGTGACTATATACATAACACAGGTTACTGTGAATCTACCATAGTGCATTTGCATATATCGGTGATAAAGTTACAACCGCTTGTTTGAAAGTTACCACAACGACAAAAGTATTTTTACATTTTGTATGCGGGTAACTTTGACACTTTTAAACTGTGGTAACTCTATCGCTCACCATAATATGCAGTAAACTTACACCATTTCCTTTCTGTGTGTACACGAAACTCTTGATCATTTTATTTGCAGATTTCTGCTGAAGACCTAGGTGGTGCAGATCTTCATTGCAAAATTTCTGGTGTGACAGATCACTATGCAGTTGATGATGAGCATGCTCTTTGCATTGCCAAAAACGTTATAGCAAATTTGAATAGATCAACAACAAAAAGTATCAATAACTCCATCATCGAGGAGCCGTGCTATGATCCAATTGAAATGTATGGAATCGTCGAGTCTGACTTGACAAAATTGTACGATGTTCGAGAAATAGTAGCGCGTATTGTTGATGGTAGTAGATTCGATGAATTCAAAAGACTTTATGGTGAGACACTTGTATGTGGTTTTGCACGTATTTATGGACAACTGGTCGGAATCGTTGGCAATAATGGAGTGATACTTCCAGATAGTGCTTTGAAGGGAGCCCATTTCGTTCAGGTTTTGAGAAGAATTTTATACTAACACCATTCAATTAATTTGAACTTTTGAAATTTAGTTTTCTTAATTACAGCTTTGCTGCCAGAGACAAATTCCGATTATTTTTCTTCAAAACATCACAGGTACTTATTTTAATTTATTATCACCGCCAAGCGCTGACTTGACTACACAGCAAGTTTTGTTGTTGTAATGAGCTGTACGTAGACATAAATTGACTGTTAGTGTAATACATAAAATAGTTTCAATTTAATACTGGTTCTCGATTAGTGTGAAAATTTGATCTATGAACTGATAATTTTTTTTTACCTGAACATGGAAAAGAATGTAGGTTGCCACATACTAACGGTCCAATATAGTCTAACTTAAACTTGTAAAAATGAAAGACTATCCGAAGTTTGGTCATTCGCGTAGTCATCGATTAGGTTATTCTTTTGCCTAGTCGAGAACCCATAGCTATATATAGTCAAACTATTTACTGTTATACCCAAAATTGTATAGAAATCAAAAGATCAGGTTTTTTTATGACTCTTGGAATCATTTTCCTGCCAAACCAAATATTCAGCCAGTTTTTTGGCGGTGTTAATAAATAAATACAGGGTGGGCCAGAATAACTGTCGGTTTTATTTTCAAGTATAAATCACACATTTTTCAAGATAATCGGGTACTTGTTTTTGCATGCGGTCTAAATATTTTTATTCCAGCCGCCAGATTTGGTTTTCCTAAAATTTTGGTCGAGTTATAGCCATAGATGTGCCGAAAAAAAATCAAGTGCGTCGCGCACCATTTTCCAGGAATCTACACACAAATCCTTACTATTCTTTTGAAGAATTGCGAGCTAAGTTGTGGCCAAACAATCATTGGACCATTGGCTTTCGAGGGTATGTGGACAAAGAAGAAAAAAAATATTCTAGAGAAAATGGCAGCCATTAATCAATGTTCATGAAATCACATTTTTCTGATTTTAGCACATTTTCGTTCACTTATTTTTTATACATAGTTTTATTGTAAATCAAAGGAACGTTATATGCAATTCTTTTTCATTGCGTTGGATAGCATATAATACTAATGAATAGAATCATAAGCAATTGAACAATCGTAATTAGCAATGTATAAAAATCTTGATCTTTCAAACAATATTTTTCACGGCGCGCAACCGTTTTTGGGAGTTTCAGACACCAAATTGACACTCATTTGTATTTGAATTTAAATCAAATAGTGGCTACGCAATCTTTGAACCCTAATTATCTATTGACAAAAATATTCGGAAAATTATTTAAACTTTGACGTAAATGCCGACTATGTATTAATATTCAAAAATTACGTTTAAACGCGCTTCTGATTGGCATCGTATTACATTTGGCGCTATTTCAGAAAAAGTATGCATTTTGATCAAATGTTTGTTGCTAAATATGTTACATAAAACCTCAACAAATATAACGGTAAGCAGTTGGTTTAGTTATTTTATATCGTATATAACAAATAAATTTAGAAAAAAGAGCGAAAGTTATTCTGGCCCACCCCGTAAATAAAAAACAATTCTATTTTTCCCGAAAATATTTGCCTTACAGTTGTGATATCAGATGAAAAACGTCTAGACGAGGTTAAAATTTAGTGACGCTACTGTGCGTGGATTTACCACTCAAAAGACTGATATCATTTTGAGTGACGCTTCGATGCTGTATTATCACTGGGTACTAGGGTGCATCGATTTCTTATATGAGAAATGTTAGGGGGTGTAGTGCGGTTTCGGTAGAGGTCGTCCAGAAGGAACAATTTTTATTCTGGCACTTTTGTCCTATCACCCCTTCCTTTACCCCCGCTGAATCAGCGTTTTGTGATTTTCCATGTAATTTCAAAAAATCTATACATATTTTCTTTAATTTTTTCAAAGGGTTTATGGTTGGTTCTCAAGCGGAAGCCAATGGGATAGCAAAAAACGGTGCCAAAATGGTTACAGCGGTTGCCTGTGCAAATGTACCAAAGATAACCGTCATAATAGGAGGCTCATACGGTGCAGGAAATTATGGTGCGCATAGCCATTTTTAAAAGAATAAAATACAAATATAAAGCATATTATATAAACCATTGATGGAATAAAAAAATTTAGGCATGTGTGGACGTGCATATTCACCACGTTTTCTCTTTACGTGGCCAAATTCTCGAATTTCTGTAATGGGAGGAGCACAGGCGGCAAACGTTCTAGTTCAAATAGCAGAAGATCAAAACAAACGTTCCGGTGAATCCAACTCATGGAGTGAGGAAAAAGCGAACCAAATTATAAAACCCATTATTGACCAATTCGAGAAGGAAGGATCACCGTACTATAGTACAGCACGTTTGTGGGATGACGGCATTATTGATCCTGCGGATACTAGAAGAATTCTGGGACTAAGTTTACAAGTAGTGAAGAACAGCAGCATTAGTGAAACGAAGTTCGGTGTGTTTCGAATGTAGCAAATAAATATCTTAATAAAATATTTTTTACTTTTTTTATGCAAATTTGCGGAGTTTTTGGTTTTATGATTTTTAAAATTAACTAAGAAGATGGCTCTTGTATTTTTTATCTGACCAAAAATATATCATTTATCAAAGGAATTTATACTTTTTCAAAGATTTAGATATGCAAAGCATCAACTAGCTCAATCACAAAAATATGTTGACTTTTATTTTGTCCCATAACACGATTGAAAATATGCATAATGCTCCATGCCTCATATTTATAACGTTGCGTAAACGTTGGGTCAGTGTCAATGGAAAAAAAATACTATTAGGAAAGCTCAAAACAAATAGTGATACCAACACACAACACTTACACGTAAAATAATGAATACTGTACACACAACTTCCCATTGTTGCATCGACACAGTGACAAAATTTATTCAGCCACAGAGCTAGTAAAAAAAACATCGATGAAATAAATAAAAAAAATCGTGTTTCTCAAGTGACTGCCTTTGCATTTCACGGAAAAGGTGATGAAACAAATCATTAGAAGGTTTTTAAGAATTTTTAAGTAAGTTTGAAGGCTTTTTTGTGATTAACCGCATGCCTCAGGTGCATCCATAGCTATTTTCTACAGAAAAGCATTGTGAAAATATTGACAACAAATAATTAAATAATATTTGAGAATAAAAATTACTACAATTCACGTGTTGTGGTAAAAAAAGAAAAAAATTAAAAGCACAAGATGTTCATATATAAAGACATTTCGCATTAATGCATTTATAGAAAAAAGATTATCGTCATTGTATTTGACTTCAGCGCCATTTGTCAAACATAGGTTTTACGAATTCTATGTTCCATTCGATACGAACTAAAAATTTGGGCGAATTCATTTCATTTACTTCTCTTAAACTGTTCTATAAATTGAGCGTATATCGCATGCGGAGGTTTGTTGGATTCATAGTTAGGGGGAGTCGCTTCATGTGCAAAAACCGTTGTTGATGAAAAAAGAATCTACTTTATCTTCTCAGTGTATCCCATTAAATGCAATTTGAATGAAAAAAACGACACAAATCAATACCTATAGCTTAAAAGGAACAACTCTGGATTTCTATTTTTTTATATTACCGAAGAGTTTGTATGATCCTATGTAATAATTGACATTGCCGTTCATATAATTCTATTTTAAATCGTTTTTTTTTGTTTTGTCTGTAATTCGACTATTCACAAATATATAAATATTGCGTTGAAAAAGTGTATGTATTTCTCATGAATTTGTAAAAATATTCAATTAAGTGCGATAGTAGTAAAGGAGAGTCCGATGTGAGTAGTGGTATACTTTGAAAATAGTATCGCCCAAACAACCGCGCGCCATATTGCTTTGCTACAACAGTCTTGATCCGGTCAGCTGCGGAGTCAGACCTGAGCATTTCAAAATAGAAGTAGAAAATTATTTTGCTGGAAGTAATCGAACCTATAACTTCAAAACGTTTTTTTAAATTTAATGTAAAGTGAACAATTAAAGGAAAAAACATTTGTTGAAAGAAAATTATATCAATACAGAATAAAGTGTTGGAGTTTAGTTCAAGTAAAAAGATCATCAATTTTGATTACTAAAGAGGAAAGTGCGTTTCAACCGCTTATTTGTCAATAATATTCTGGAAAATGTGTCATTTTGTAGTTTTATAAGATGTTATCTGAAAATAGTAGAAAATTAGTAACCACTTGCAGAAGTTTTGATAGAAACACAAATAATATCGCATGTTCTCTTTATTTTTGAATTAAGTAAGTTTGATGACATTAGTAATGGTTTCAAATCGGCTGTGAATTGGGACACAGATTTTCAGCTTGTTATGCAATAATACGGTTAAAACTACCCAAAATTATAAAGTAAATGTTAAACATGAAAAAATGCCGGAGAAATCTTAATTTTTCAAAGTAGAATGAAACTTACGAAGGTATCCGCCAAATTTTCGTTATAAACACAAAGAGATTTCGACGGATCTCAAGTGATTTCAATGTAGAAAATTGTGAACTGTGGCTATTTTCGATAATTACTGAACCTATAGTTGTGAGATTGTTTTTAATTCCGAAATTGTGATATGGTTTATCAAATTTGAAAAATGTACATCATGCTTCATCTCATCAATACGGATATGCAGGAGCAATGGAAAAATTCGCACTCGAATTATTTCATTTAATGGATCAACACATAAGCAAGAACAATATAAGCACCGTAAATCGCGTATTGATTATAGTTGAAACGATACAATATTACATATATGACAAAAATTCGCGTGTTTGGTTAAGTCGCATTTTATGAACATTTTCCATTTTTCACTGATTGCCATAGTTGTATATCTCGATCTGCCTTTGTCGTATGTTCAAAAAATCATGTGAAATTAATATCTGTTTCACAGCTATTCTTCTGTATTTCTGTTGGTTTTGTTACTCACATGGATGACTGTACGCTCAATCTTTGTTGCTTCAAATGCTTTGTTAAAGTGTGCTGTTTCTCAAGCGCATGGTTGTGTTCGTGGCATTTTTGCTATACACTTATATATTTGACGTTGAGTTCTGTGCAAAAGATGTTCATGTTGTGAAACCTACACAGATAAGCTTATTCGTATGTTTATTGGCGCTTTGATTCCAATATGTTGAATGAGATTTGTTTTTTTATTTTTTGTTTATTTTTGTCAAGCCAAACAAAAAGGTATAAACATAGTGTTCTAATCACAGTCACTTAATATTGATTTAATTTGAATATTTTGTATACTAAGTATGTTCCCTCCAAAGTACTCGAATAATCTTCGCACTCATTAAAGTGGATCAAATAATCAAGAAGCACATAACCACAAATTTTAGTATTTGAACTTGTATAAAACAGATTTTCTTTCATCAGGCTCTCTTAACACTGATGTGAATCTTACAAGTATGAAACGCAGAGCTGACGAAGTACAGTTTGGAGCTCGGACTCCACAACGAATGATAACTACACAGCATAGCAGCGCGGGTCAGTATTGGAAGATTTATTTTTCATTCATAAATTAAATATTTGATATGATTTATATAATTTAAACTTTAATTTAACTTACATTTAGCATTTGTGTAATTGGTGGAGGAGCAAAGTTGGTGTTATTCTGAAAATTTTAAACGTTATGATGTTTTTTTGAAATTTTAAACGTATTTCGCCAATATCACAAAATCCAAATGAAAAAAAATTAAAATCGGTGATTATTATTATTTTTATAAAAAGTAATTATTATGTTCTTATTAGTTGGACCAAATATTCAATACCATATTGGTTCGGGTGTATTAAAAACCAACTCATCTGAAGGTACGATTATTAGTGGACCATCGCCAACTGTTCAATATACGACAAGTAAGTATTCAATTTTTTTTAAAAATCAATAGATGAATATTGAAAAAATCATATTTATTCATATTTATATACATATTTAGCTTATCCTCAAAGCCAAACCATACCCAGTGTAAAAACAAATGTTGGAACTAGCAACACTGGAACTACAATTCATGTAGTGAATTCGAATATTGGTCCGGCAACCAACACAATTCGACACAAAGGTAGACATAATTCTTTTTTTTAAACTAACAATTACATTTATAAATATGAATAATAACGCATAATAGGCGCACAAGTGCAGCAAGTTCAGCAAGTTCAGCAACAAGCTCAGCCAGTGCAACAGCAACAGGTGACACCTCCCCCGAATGTTCAAACTAATATGGGTAAGTTCTAGTTCATTTTATGTTGTTAACACAAATTCAATGTAACGAAAAATATTTAAAAAGAATATATATTTTCGAAATTTACTTCGACAGTTTTGAATACTATGGTGTAAAATTGTATTTTGTAAATGAATTGTATGATATTATTCAGTCTGTGATTAGACGGTGAAATAAACAATAATAATAATACTTCTATAAATCTATGTACTGAATGTATTATTATTTATTTACACCTGTAATTACTGGGAGAATATTTTGGTTATAGAAGTATGAATATAAACGTAACTATAGTTTTCACATCGCTCCGAAATGATTTTTTTGAATTTCATATCACAAGTTTTGTGTTCTCTTTCGGTACGAGAATTGACTTTAATAAAGTTTTTTTATTTGATATCAAATGTTTTGTAATAAAATTTTGCGATGAAATTACCGGCCAGTCAATGTTCTTTCGCATATTTGAATATGAATTCAATAAATTCGAAATCTCAAGAAACAGTTAATTTTTCCGCAATTTAATTATGGTATAAAAAGACTTGGTGAAAAGCTGGCACCTTAAGGAATTTTATTGATATTAACGCGAAATTGATATTTTTCAAGATTTGACCACAATATGGCTCGCATTCATGCCTGAAATTTGGCTTTTTGTCATTTTTTTACGATTGTTCATGATTTTTCCAACTTTTAAAGGCCATATCTCGAAAAAAAACGAATTTTGCCAGGTATATGCTATATGACAAATTTTAGCTCCAATTTGGGGCTAAAATCAAGGCTATTTTGAGAAAAATCTTATGAGCCGTTTTCCAGAAAATGACCGATTTATGCAAGGCCAGGTGACCATTTTTTCGGTTTTCCGCCCATAAGACCATGCCAACTCGATGAATGGCTTTTATTTTTCAGCGAAATGATTCCCTTTCCAACATTTCTGGAGTCCGCAACGGGGTCAAAGTGGGTAGGTGACTTCGCAATTGTTGTAGCCCCATCGATTTCCTTTCCAACGGTACCATAGGTTTGGCAATGTGTCAACTACTTCTCAGTAAGATTTTAGCTGGCGCAAACCCCATTTTGTTTTTTTAAATTTTTCGCTAAATTTACACTGGGTGAACCCAGAAATGTGGGCCACTTACAGCCCTAAGATTTTGGTTTTCTCATTTTCTATCAAAAACAAGACTCCAGCCAATTTTCAGCCAATTCGGTGACCTCACACTCTTCTCTGATTTCGTGTGGAATTGCCGAAATATATGTTTTTGATATACTTCAATGCCTGAAAGTTTGAAAAAGATCAGATAAAAACTACTGACGGACAAACAGACAGACAGACAAAACTATTATCTCAGAATAATTGGTGGAGACGCCAAAGAAAATTTTCAAATGGCCAAGTCCCATGAACGTATGATCCGATTTCAACATTCTTGGGCTTGTTGGAACGGTCTCAACAAGTAGCTTCAAGAGTTTGACGCCATTTGAACATTTTCTTTGGCGTCTCCACTGATTATTCTAAGATAATAGTTTTGTCTATCTGTCCGTCTGTACGTAGTTTTTTCTGATTTTTCAAACTTTCAGGCATTGCAGTCTTTCAATAATTAAGACTTTTTTGTTTTTGACACTTTTTGATTTGACCGCCATCTTGGCCTCGAGCGTCCAAAAATGGCCTACTCAACCGATTTCAGATTTTTGGATATCGTTCAAAAGGTCTTGAGGCCAGCTGGCAAATGACACCTATTTCAACTTAAAAAATTAAAGTTAGCTTGGTCTTGTTGGTCTCTACCCTAATTAGAGCCAAAAATTTAACCACCCGTTTACAGTAAACGGTTTACTGTCAAATTTTGAACAAATGTAGAGCGTCGTGGATTTCATACGGCAAAATTCAGTACTAATTGGTGTGATTTTGTGGTATTTCACAATATGTCGCATATACAATTATAAGCGTGTGAATTTAACATTAATATCTGGCAAAATTCGATTTTTTTGTAAAAATTTATTTTTATTTATTTACAGAGATTACAATGGGATATTTTTATTTATATGGGATAGAAATATCACATAAAAATAACAGATATTTTTCGCGCGTTGTGTTCAGCGAAACGCATAAATACACAATAGCGATTTTGCACACACAGAGTCGCTGTTTTTTCGTATACTCTTCACACTTACGATGGGCTGCGCGGAGCGTGCATGCACATGTTTCGCTCACTTCTTTCTTTGAACACTCTTCGTGTGTCAACACAATGTCTGTGTGTGTATCGCTTGTGCCGTCATTTGTAAACGACGTCAATGAGCTGGGTACAAAGAGTGTCGATCGAAAGAAAAGAGCAAAACATATATATGCATGCATCGCGCAGCTCATTGACGTCGTTTACAAACGACGGCACAAGCGATACACACACAGACATTGTGTGAAGAGTATAACGAAAAAACAGCGACTCTGTGTGTGCAGAATCGCTATTGTGTATTTATGCGTTTCACTGAACACAACGCGCGAAAAATATTAGATATTTTTGGACTCTGAATATTGAACGCGTTGAACGTTGAACACAACGCGTGAAAAATATCTGTTATTTTTATGCGATATTTTTATCCCATATAAATAAAAATATCCCATAGTAATCTCTGTTTATTTATTTATTTACTCCGCCAAAAGCTGGCTGAATAATCAGTTTTGCAGGAAAATAACTCCAAGAGTCATGAAAAACCTGATCTTTTGTGTTTATACAATATAGGGTATATGGTTAAAGTGATTTTGGCCTGAACATTGACTAAACTAAACTAGTTTCCATTACATACAAATAATAGGTCAGAGAAATCACCAGCTCAAAGGATGGCTATATCACAGTAATTGTAGCTATAATAAAAGAAATATGAAAAAAATCACAGTAATGTATGCAAATTTTTCAGTATTTTATATTAAATTTTCAACTTTGCTCATTGCGCACCGATGTGATGAAGCTAGCACGGGTGGTTGAATTTTTGAATGGATCAGCCACTTTATTTGCATATTTGCACATTTGTGGCACTTGAGGTCTAGTTTATTTGTCCATGAGCTTGTCTTTGATCTTGAGGTATTCAGTGTGCCGTAACGCGCGTACGCTCTCTCCTATTGCTATGTCGTTCCGTACATTGGGACAATTTGCGTTCCCATTAACGATTTCATACATGAACACAATTAAGCGTTCACTCTCCTACGTTCCAACGAAGTCATGCTCAGAGCTTCCAGTCGATTGTTATATTCGGTGATGTTGTATCCGTTGGTTGCTGTACGATACTCTCTTTGGGCGAACTGTGTGAACTTTCTCAAAACGCTCTCGATTTTGTCGATATGTATGGCAAAAGTTGGCAGCCATACAACGTTGCAGTACTCAAGATGAGACTGAACCAATGCGTAATACAACGTTTTGAGCGTTTGTATATCGACTATGTCGTAGCAAAATCTCTTGATGAATCCAAGAGCAGCTGTCGCCTTCGATGTAATTGCATCGATGTGTTTGACAAAACTAAGCTTCTGGTCAATGACGACGCCGAGATCTTTGTGGTCCGATACGTGCTTGAAAATGAAATCACCGTATTTGTAATTAGTGTCGATGATGTCCTTCCTTTTTGTGGTGATTGTAAGGACGGCACATTTGTCAAGGTTCAGGTGCAAATTGTTTACGTCGCACCAAATGTTCAGTTTGTCGATGGCTCGCTGTAGCACTTCCGCATCGGTGCTCGAGTTGATGATTTTGGCGATTTTTACATCATCGGCGAACAAGGAAATGAACACGTCGTCCATTTCATCCACTATGTCGTTGATGAACAACAAAAATAGTGTGGGTCCGAGATGACTTCCCTGTGGTACGCCAGATGATACTTTGAATTCATTCGACTCGCTGCTCCCATACTTAACGAATTGAGTTCGGTTTGACAGGTATGATTCCACCCAAGCAAGAAGATTGTCTGGCAGGTTGAAGGATCTGAGTTTCAGAATCAATCTCTTGTGGTTAACTCTGTCAAACGCTTTACTGAAGTCCGTGTAGAGAACGTCCACTTGCGCAACAGAATTTATGCCTCTCCGGGCATAGTGGATAAATTCGGTGAGATTAGATGCAGTAGATCTGGATTTTATAAAGCCTTGTTGCTTTTTGGTGATTTTGTCCTGTACCAGAGACAGAAGTTTGACATTCACCAAGTGCTCAAAAGAACTTCGCCAAAGTTTGGAGCTTAGCAATGCAACGATAGTTTTCAATTGTCGATCTCGACCCCTTTTGAAAATAGGTGATACACCCGAGCGCTTCCATTTGTCTGGGAAATGGCAAGTCGACAATGAGTCACGTTGATATCAATGAAATTTCTTAAAATGCCCTTCACAAAGTCTTTTTCGATCTTTTTATACATTAAGGCTGAGGACAAATGCTCGGCTATAAAATTTATAGCCGGCTAGAAAAAAAAATTCGTTTTTTTCGCATTTTTTGGGGAAATTTTAGTCGGATGAAATGAATTAGGACAAATAATGACGATTTGCATCAAAAACCGCAATAATTTCATCGATATTTTTGATTTTTTTTAGTTTTTTTGGAAAAAATTGAGTTTTTTGAAATTCTTTTTTTGGACTTTTTTTAAATTTTCTTTGGAAAATTTCATTCGAATGGAATATATTAGGGCATAAACAGAGGTTTTACATCAAAAATTTTCATTCGATTTTTTGTAATATTATTGCGAAAATTTTGAAGTCCTATAATTTCTCAACTACTCAAAATAGAGCAATAGTGTCTGAAGCAACTTTTTAGTACTCCTCAAAACCATTGCATACCATGTTCTAAAAGTACTAAAAGAGTTCTAAAAATGTACTAAAAAGTACTAAATGTTGCAAACCCTTTGTATGGCTGTGGTCGACTCTGGGCGATGGATTTACTGTACGAAATCATGTTAAACGTACAGTATTGGACCGTGATATACCCTACTGAGCGTTACCTAGCTGTTATATTAATATTTGAATAGAAAAGAATTCCCATATTTCCTAAGAATTTCACATTCCGTTGAATGTTGTTTTATTCATTTGGCACATGTGCCGGACAAGTACCAAGCAAACTGAAATATATATATATCATGATTTTAGAGGCAACAAGTATAACCAGAATTGACTTTTGTCTTCAAGACTTTGAAAAATTGGACAAAATTCAAATAATTACCAAATTAGTTAATTACCAATTAATTAATCAAATAAGTTTTTGATGCAAATCGTCATTATTTGTCCTAATTCATTTCATCCGACTAAAATTTCCCCAAAAATTGCGAAAAAAAACGAAATTTTGAAAAATGAAATGAAAATTGTCATTACAGCGACAAATGCCTCAAACTATTGGTGAATTTGGGTCCAGTGGCTTGCAATAGCCTAGAAATAAATAACCTGATATAACAAACCCACTACATACGGCGAAAGACGGATTTGAATTTTTCTAGCCGGCTATAAATTTTATAGCCGAGCATTTGGACTCAGCCTAATATCAACTAAAATTGTGGAAAATCTCTCAAAAACAAGGGAAGTCTTCACAGTCGAAAACTCCAAAAAGTGACTCTTTCAAACATTAGTGACATTTTGTATGGATTTTGTCATCAAATTATTATGTTTTGTTCGGGACTAATCATACGTTTAGAAAATGAAGGAGAAACTGAAGTATTTAACGCTATTCTAATGTAAACTGTGGTAGTTCCTTAAAAGCTGCATGATTTTCAAACAAATAACTGATTTTCAAACAATTAACTACCATGCTCTCTCTCCCTCCCCAGATGGAGAATTTGGTTACTTTTTTTCTAACACGAAATCAATTGAAAATTTCAAATTGGTTGGATTGAGCAGCGAATGAAAACAAAATTTCCGAAGAAAAAAATTTCTCGGGGAATCTCTAAAAATTTGTACTGAATTTCTGAATTTTCAATCGCGGTTTAAGAAAAATGTGACTCACATCTTACGACCTGCGAAGTCGACTATTTTTTTCAAACTCAAATTATTAATATTTGGAAGTTTAATGCATTTTAAAAACAAATGAGTTAATGGGTAAACGGCGATTTTTTATTTATTTACACCGCCAAAAAGTGGCTGAATATTTTGGTTAGCAGGAAAACGACTCCAGAAGTCATGAAAATTTTCATACAATAGTTAGTTATAGTAGTCTTTCTCGATTTGAATTAGGGTTTGGTCTATAAAATTTAACACAAAGAAACCTAACCAATACAAGGAAATGAGTAGTAAGCCGAATTGTTAACGGTTCAAGATAATCTAACAACGCGTTTGAGAAAAGATAGACTAACTGGAGCGTTAAACATATTATTGTCGGCCTTAATGACTGCAAAAGTCATCTTTCGATTTATCAGAGAAGTGATATATTGAAACAAAGTTTTACGTCTAGTCTAACAAGTCCCTGTTGGTAGATATAAATTTACAATTTAGTAGAGACCGAAAGACATAACGGTAGTTTCCATTATAAAGTATTAACAGGTCAAAGTTAATCACCAACTCAAAGAATGGCTATATATATATATATATATATATATATATATATAAAATCACGACGTAGGCAGAGCCATGAAACCGAACTGTCAAACTACAACGGGGACCGCGTAGTCGGTTGTCATTCGTTGCGGAACGCGCTAAAAGTATGCATAAGTACATGAGTACATATTTCAAGCATTCTGGTTAAAAAATATTTCAATTATTTATAAAAATATACCTAGTGTATTAATATGAAAACCCATTTTTAATAACATTTTAGAAACGTTTGAAAAAATACCGAAAAAGAATATGAACTTTCTTTTTTTTGCTCAGAAATTCTTTGCTAACATTTTTCTTGTTTTTGATTGACAAAGTGAGGTTAAGTATCTACTGACATGTTCAATGTGTAGAACAAATTTGTGCACTCGGTGGAACAAAGCCATTGTGTGTTTAAGGAGCCACGTGGCTCACGGAAAGTACTTTATTCCCATGGCTCCTGAAACACATTTTCAAGCTCACTTTGTAGGAAGCGAACGTAAAAAATGAGAAAATTGAATTAATTGATTTCAAAATTCATTTGAACATCAGCTAATCTAAAGAAAACTTAGATAAATATGTTCATGTTGGAAACATTTTTCTAAATTTGATAATGTGGATGTGTCATCCAAATCATTCATTGCATTTAAATAGGAAATAAAGAAACAACATAATTTTACACAAATATTCATTTTCCACTTGATTTTATCATTTTTATTCACTCCATGAATAATATACGTTCACGAAAATACGTTGTCTTTTTCAAACATAGTAGTTCAAATTCAACGAGTCGTTCTACGAAGGTGCACTTAAGACTGTCTGGCGTGTATTTAATTTGTACTTTATTCTGACAGCCGCGTTGTAATTGATGATGACAGTTCGGTTTCGCCCCTCTGGACGTAGGCCCAATATCAAATTTTTCATGACAGCGATTTCGGAATTCATTCAGATCGCAACAATTCGGCCGATTCCATTATTCCAGCCAATTTTCGGCAAAAACTGATGATGAGGTTTTGTTTGACTCGTCAATATCTATAACTTTTACCAACGTCAGCCCTTGAAACAGCATTCTGGGCCAGTTACAGTGTGAAATGACCAAAAAAATGTCAATTTTTCGGCATTTTCAACATTTTTGGCTTTACGAGTAACCAAGGTGGTGGACTTTTGTTCAGTTTTAGACTCAACCAAATATTTATAAAATTCATGTACGTACTCAACATAAAATTGATTGGTTCAAATTTAGTGTAGTTATTGTGACGCATTGGTAATGATAGGAAACCTGAGTTGAATCGCTTCTTTTCATATATTCAGGTGGAACATTTTTGTGCCAAATCGTATGCCAAAAAGCTCAGTTGTGAAAACATCCTTTCAGATGATGGTGAGGATGCCGAAGATCTCGACTAATAATCTTCCTCAATTTTCAAATCAAAAGCACATAAATGAATGAAAATTTAATAATTATTCGAAATATGGATTTGTTATTTGATTACTTCTCTTATTTATTTATAGGATGGCCCGTTTAACCCGTCAATTTTTTTTCGGCCATTTTCAAGATGTTTGGAATATTTTCGATAATTTTTTTTTGTAATGCAAACCAAGCACCCTCGGAACAAAAAGTTTCCTTGTGAGGTCCTCTTTCCAACGGTATATATATCTATTGACTAGATCGAGAGGAGAGTATGTGAAAAATTCTAATATATTTTGAAAGAGGCGCACATAAAAAAGCAAATTTTATATAAAACTTTTTTTTCTTATCATTTTTCGCGCTTTTCGCGGAACTGATAAGAGATAAGAGATAACTGACTTCAGCAATGTTATAGAAGACCTCAAGTGCTACAACTTTGCCGAAGACATCAAGTTGTTATCTCTTATCAGTTCCGCGGAAACCGTGGAAAACCACGAGGACCCACCAAAAATGAACATACTCGCCTTTAACCATTTTTGAGTCGAAAGAAACTTACTCTTCTCTTTCATAACAAAGTCAGATGAACTTACTCTCCTCTCGATCAAGTCAATAGATATGTTGTAAACATTATTAACTTTTAAGGATGTGTTAGTGGTCAATCAAAGTGTGGCCCGTTTGAGACGACATTCCCTTACTCATAATAGACATTAGTTTTTCATTTATTCACATAACGGCTATCTAACTTTGACTTTATCTGTGATGATAATAAGTTTTTTATGTCCCAATGGTTAACGAATTTAGTCTAAGAATGCTTCATTTATATTATATCAATAGAAAACAGATGTTAACAGGGGGAGAGAGAATGAATAAATTTTCATTTTTTCACTGAAACTCCAATGTGAAAATGTGTAATATTAAAGCGTACTGTACTGAAATAAATCAGATTGCACACACAACTGTAGTATCGATACTAAAATAAATAAATAAATAAAAAATAAAATGAAAAATATTGCACAGTCAAGCACGCACTCTCATTCGGTCCTGTGGACTATGGTTCACTTACTTTTTTTTCACAGTTCAAAATAAAATGGTGATGCGAAGAGTGTTAGAGAGTATAGAGGACTATTTATATTACACATTAAACTTTTTTTTAAATTTCAGTCTCTACAGTTCCACAACAAACGAGTGGCCAAGAAAAATTCCAACGCCTCAAAGTGGAGGATGCCCTGAGCTATTTGGATCAAGTGAAATACAAATTTGGAAACCAGCCACAAGTGTATAACGACTTTTTAGATATCATGAAGGAATTTAAGTCGCAAAGCATAGACACGCCCGGGGTGATTCAACGAGTATCTAACTTATTCAAGGGTCATCCAGAATTGATTGTTGGGTTCAACACATTTTTGCCTCCTGGCTATAAAATAGAAGTTCAAGCAAATGATCAAGGCGTTGCTTTTCAAGTTTCTGTTTCGATGCCATCTCCATCAGGGGGAAATATTTGTTTACAACAGCCAACATCTCCACATCGCGGAAATCAAATAATTCACAATATGCAAACATCCACAATACACCAAATTTCTGATCGGCAGCCAATCTATCAATTGGGACCGCAACAACAACCACAGACCCCACAACAACAACCACAACTACAAACACAACAACAACAACAACAACAACCACCACCACCACAACTACAACCACAACAACAACAACTACAGCAACAAATACAATCACAGCTTCAACCACAACAACAACAACAACAACAACAACAACAACAACATCAACAACAACAACTACTACAACTACAACAACCACAGTCGCAAACTCAAACTTCCACATCCATATCAGCACAATCTAATTTCGGATCAATATCACAACAGCAGACTGCAGTGGGAACTTCTATTAGTGTCGTTGCCGGAAATACTGTGACACAAGTTAGCAGTGTATCTGCTAGTGCAAACACTAACAAGCAACCGATAAGTAAGTAATTTTCATAAAATCATAAATTATATTGTTTTGAATGCTAAACATCTATTGGTGAGACGTAAAATGAGTAGTTTGGAGCGAAAATGTTATACAGAAAAGTTGAGAGGAAAAATGTCAAATGAAAAGAGATAGCTATATAGTTCACTATAGTTTACTATACAGTTTACTATATAGCTATCCCTTTTCCGCTCATACATCATCGACATTTTTCCTCTCAACTTCTTTGTATAACTTTTTCACTCCAAACTACCATGGATTAATTTAACGGGCTGCTCTTGCCGTTTTGGGTTACTCTAAATCACGAATGGGCTGCCCTACAAACCAAATCGGGCTGTTAAAAAAAAATCAATATTTCTGTGTTATTTCTTCACAGAAAATCACGAATGATGAATTTGTTTATATTCGAAAGATTAAATTGAAGGTCTGAGTTGAAAAACAATACATATGTATTGTCGAACTTTTCTTAAATGTAACATGTCCATGCAAAAACGCATGGCTTTTGTTTTGGTTTTTGATCCCAACCGTTCACTTATTTTGCTCTTGTTTGAGTTTATTCTGATTAAACAATTGTATACACTTTACACAACTGTTGATCATTATTGATGACACCGCAAAACAAAACAAAATCAAGAACAAACACGACTTAAAGATTCAAATGTGCAATCGGAGCAAATATGGCATACTCGGTCATGTGCAATTGCAAAACTTACTGTCGCTATCGATCATTTCGCAACTCCGATTCGAAGAGACAAGTAGTAATACACAATGGAAAAATCAAATTAAAGTGGGATTCCGCCGAAAAAACTCAAAACATTCTTTCCAAGTCAAGTTGGTGTTTCTAATGAAAGCCGTAAGTTGAAGATAGCTAAAATTAATATTTATGTCAGTGTTGGTTGGTTTATTCGAGTTTAATTAATTGAAATAAAAACATAGGTGATAGTGAAATGGATGTAGATCCGCCCACTGCGCAAGATATTGAACCATCTACATCGCAAGTAGAACTACTTCACAGTTCCAAAATATTTCCTTGGGAAAAATCGATGAGCCAGATTATGATCTTAAATACGCAAATTACATCCATTCTTTTAGTGTTCAGCAAGCTGATGGTTCACGGCGTATGGTCTATTGCAAATTGTGCAATAAATACCCCGAAATCTCCCGTAAATTTCAAGTTTTTTTTCAATGGGCTGCTCTTAATTATTCTTAAATTAATCCATGCAAACTACTCAAATAAAGTATCTCTATTGAAAATATAATATATAATTTTTTTTCTTCTAATAATTGCAGGTCATAATTTGCATCATATTTCTCCACCACCACAGCCGATTGCAGCTGATGTTAATAGTGGTCATAATCTTCACCACATTTCACAAGCTCATCAATCCATGATTCAGGCTGAACAAACAGGTTCTAATCAGAATCAAAATCAACCAGTTGAATTTAATCATGCGATATCATATGTGAATAAAATAAAGATACGCTTCCAAGCACAGCCTGAGAAATATAAGCGATTTTTGGAAATACTACATGCATACCAAAAGGAGCAGAAAGTGCTAAAAGAGGGATCAGGTAATTTGCCACAAAAACAATTAACTGAAGCGGAAGTATACAGTCAAGTAGCAAAATTATTTGATCAACAAGAAGATCTGTTGCGTGAATTTGGTCAGTTTCTACCAGATGCCACAAACCATTCGGCAACTCAATTTATAAATCGTGGAAATCATGGGCATAATGAACATAAAAAAATGAATACACCGTCGATAGGTTCACATCAGCAATCAGTAAAATCATATAATAGCTCACAGAACAATTTGCCTCGAATTGATCGTGATTATCATCCGTCCACTGAGAAAGACTACCGCAACAGTGGCGTAGATAAAGAACGCAATCATGTAACACACAAGTTTAGTGGTAGTGCCGTAAAACGATCGCCTTCCTTCCCCTCAATGCCAGTGAATCACTTGGTTCGCGATAGAGATGGTCCATCACCACCGAAACGCCACAAACCTATTTGTCGAGATGTTACATTATCAGAAGCTTCGAAATTTGGCTCGCTTAATGATTATGCCTTTTTTGATAAGGTACGCAAAGCGCTGCGAAGTCCAGAAGTATATGATAATTTCTTAAGGTGTTTAACATTATTCAATCAAGAGATAATTTCACGGATAGAGCTGGTTTTATTGATAACACCGTTCCTCAGCAAATTTCCTGAGTTACATCGTTGGTTCCAAGATTTCTTGGGTTCACAAAGTACTACTGAAGGAATTTCACTGGCAACTGCTCAAAGACAAGACCGTAATCAAGGCGAAATGGCGCAAGAAATTGATCTATCAACCTGCAAGCGCCTTGGGGCAAGCTATTGTGCTCTTCCGAAGACCAGTGAGTCTCGTAAATGTTCTGGTCGAACAAATTTGTGTCGTGAAGTTTTGAATGATACATGGGTATCATTCCCAACCTGGGCAGAAGACTCAACATTTGTCACTTCTCGCAAAACCCAATATGAAGAAATAATATACCGTTGTGAGGACGAACGCTTTGAACTGGATGTGGTTATTGAAACTAACGCGGCCACTATTCGCGTATTAGAAGGTGTACAGAAAAAAATATCGAGAATGACGCAAGATGAACTTACTAAATTCAAATTAGATGATTGTTTAGGCGGTAGCTCCCCAACTATTCACCAACGAGCATTAAGACGTGTATATGGAGATAAGGCAACCGAAATAATTCAAGGACTGAAAAAAACACCACAGATTGCCGTGCAAGTGGTACTTCGGCGACTTAAGGCCAAAGACGAAGAGTGGCGGGAAGCCCAGAAAAGTTTCAATAAACAATGGCGAGAACAAAACGAAAAGTATTACCTTAAGTCGTTGGATCATCAGGGCATCAATTTTAAACAGAATGACATCAAAGCATTGCGATCCAAAAGCCTGTTCAATGATATTGAAACTCTCTATGATGAGGTAAACAAATAATTTGATATATTTATCAATCCTACCAACTATTTCAAAAAAAATATTGGCAAAATGTGAATAAACTGAATCTGTTCAATATTTAACTTACAAGTTGATTTCTTCAAAAAAACTCAATTACCTGAATAACAGTAAATTGAATTTTATCTTTCAGCGGCATGAACAGAATGATGACAACAGCGAATTGGTTACTGGGCCGCATCTTGTACTACCGTACAAAGATAAAAGTATTCTAGACGATGCAGCGAATCTCTTAATACATCATGTTAAACGACAAACAGCCGTTCAAAAACAAGAAAAAACTCGAATAAAACATATTTTAAGGCATTTCATACCGGATTTATTTTTTTGGCCAAGACAGCAACTCAGCGACGATGAACGTGACGATGGTATGTTGAAGCAAGATAATTGACAACTAATAAGACACTTCTAAGACACTTCTCTTTTCTAAAATGCCACTGTATAACACTTTTCATTAAAGTATAATTTAATGATGTATTGTCATAAAATGTCAAAAAAGATCTTTTCGGATTGTTCACTTTCGGTGATGATCATGGTTAGGAACGATCTCTGTAACGTTTCGAATGGGAAATTAGTTAATCAGGACAAATTTATTTATTGTATTTGAAATATTGATCAAATTTATATTCTTGAACGAGATAACCTTTATATACCCTTATTATGATTTATAGAACGCTATTAGACCTTGGTAGGTTAAAAAAACCGTTTTGAAATGTATTTTCAATATTTATTTCTCAAAAAGTTTTTCCATTCCCAACAGAAATGGATGTTGATTCATCTGAAAATCGAAATGTGGCTATGACAGCGAAATCTGACTCTCAATCGAATGGTAGTAATAATGCAACGACGTCTAGAAGACCATGTGTCAATGATGATAAAAAAGATCCAATAGAAGGCAACTATGGAAAAGCAGATAACACAGGAAATGAAGACACTGATCAAAAATCACCATCAAATCTGGATGACACAATTGCTGCATCTTATCAAATTCCAAAGTCTGAATTCCCATTCCGTGAAGCTCCATCAAGTGCCATTACCGACTCAAATAATCGAATAAGTGATATATTACCAGCTACCGAACCTAATACATCCCTTACATCAGAAATAAAGCGGGAAGGATCTTGTAGTTCGCCCGATGTTCCATTACCTCCCTATGCTGTTAGTAAAATTCAAGTAAGTTGTCGAAAAAAACACAAGCGAAACCGCACTCGAACCGAGCTAAGTATTGCATTGCACTGAAAATACCCTATAAATTGGTATGAAAGTACGCCATACGCAGTATTTTGTTTCACGTATGTATAAAACCAGTGATAGCGGGACTGTCATTATAAACAAACTTGCGAACTTGTATTTATTTTATACACCGCCAAAAGCTGGCTGAATAATTAGTTTTGCAGGAAAATGACTCCAAGAGTCATTTTTGTGTTTAAACAATATAGGGAATACATTATATGGTTGAAGTGATTTTAGCCTGAACATTGACTAAACTAAATTAGTTTCCATTACATACAAATAATAAGTCATAACAATATATATATCTATGGGTGAGATTGAGAGTAGTGTAAGTTTCACTGACTTTGTTATGAAAGAGAACAATAAGTTTCTTTCGGCTTAAAAATAGTTAAAGTAGAGTAAGTATTTTGACTGTTTGTGGCTATGATAAAAGCGAGTATGTTTCATAAACCTTAATTTGCGTTAAACAAGAGTATGCAATATTTTGTTAGTTTGGAATAATTTATTTGAATTTATGTATTGGGTCTACAACTTAGTCTTTATCGTTTTTTTTTGAAAAATCACGACTTTATTGTGAGAAAATGGTACAATGTTTTTTATTCAAAGTACTGTCCATCGGAAGCTATGACTTTTCCCCACAATTCAGGCAATTTATGGATTCCATCCCAAAAGAACTGCGCCGGCTTGGCGGCCAAGAACGAATCAAGCCAATTTTTGACTTTTTGAAAACAAGTGAACCGTCCTCCACTTAGGTGATATTGAATCACTAAAAGCTAACATTTTGATACATTTCTATCACCTTCCAATGCACCATATCTGGCCCACCCCCGCAAATATGGCAAATCGCCCAATTTCGAGCGATAAAAAAAAAAGATTTTGAAAATTCGAGGGAGTGATTGCAGCGCCATCTATAACGTCAATCAAAATATGGTTTTTTATGCTTGAGTCTATCGAGAAGGGTCCATTCTTCATAATCAGTGTGAACCCGATACAAGAATAATCTTTTTTTCACAATTTTTCCGTGTGAAAAAAACAGCTCCCGCAAATGACGCTTTTTTGGCCCAAAAACCGACATAAACACGCAGAGTAAAATTTACGATGCCGATAGAAATTCACAAATGTAATGATGAGGAGTTGTTGACAGATGCCTAAGCTTCAAATATGACGTTTCAGATATGACATTTCTGCCCAGCATTTACTGCTGGCGCTATCTTTTGGAAAACGATAAAGACTAAGTTGTAGACCCAATATTAGGCAAACATAATCAATAGAACTAATCATTTGTACATTTAGCGGCTCCCAATACTTCAATTTAACACATTGGTTTTTGAAAAAGTAGAGTATGTTTGCATAAATGGTTAAAAAATATTAAGTTCTTTCGACGAAGAGCATCAGGAGTTCATAATTGTTAGCAAAAATTCCAAAAATCGGCCAAGATCGGCCGCCGGTTTTCCGCCGATTCAAACATTTTTGATATATTTGTCGAACCACTTGATGGATGAAGTTTACATCTTTCAAAAAATATAAAATTTGTTAAAATCCGTTCAGTGGCTCAAAAGTTATAGCAAGAATTCCGAATGTCCTCTTGAATCGGCGACCAAAATCGGCCGTCTAGGAAATAGTACCTTTAGAGAGAGAACGTAATCGAGCTCTGCTTATTGCTCACTCAGAACGGAATTAATACGATTCACATATACCAATGGTGATCTGTCAAATTACCATCATTACTATTGGTGAGAGTGGCGATTTTGTATGTATTGTATCTGCTCTTCTGTGCGATATTACTATGTCACAAAAATGTATCGGTAGTATTATGGTCATATTACAACCAATACCACTTTGTTACATAGTAATATCGCACAGCAGAGCAGAAAAAATACATACAAAATCGCCACTCTCGCCAATAGTAATGATGGTAATTTGACAGATCACCATTGGTATATGTGAATCGTACAAATTCCTTTCTGGGTGAGTGTACAGCATCACCATGAACGAGCGGTATACGAGCCAATGTAAAGAGTGAAATAACAATATCACTAAAACGATAGCGCATGAAAAATAACACAGAAGAAATGAAACAACAAACAAATATTGCGAAATTGCAACGCATCGGAGAGAGTGAGAGAATCTCTTTCGCTCACGCACAACAGCAAATATTCATAACACGCTGACACCGACTCAGTGGAGACCACCAATGCCAACGCAAATCAAAACAATTGATTTGTATTGCTGACATCACTGAGTCGGTGCCAGCGTGTTATGAATATTTGCTGTTGTACGTGAGTGAAAGAGATTCTCTAACTCTCTCCGATGCGTTGCAATTCCGCAATATTTGTTTGTTGTCGCATTTCTTCTGTGTTATTTTTCATGCGCTATCGTTTCAGTGATATTGTTATTTCACTCTTTTGCAATGGTTCGTATACCGCTCGTTCATGGCAATGCTATACAATAAGCAAAGTTCGATTACGTTCTTTCTTTAATGCTGACGTTTATGAACTCCTGATGCTCTTCGTCGAAAGAACATAATATTTTTAACCATTCGCATGAAACATACTCTACTTTTTTAAAAACCAATGTGTTAAATTGAAGTATTGGGAGCCGCCAAATGTACAAACGATTAGTTCTATTGATTGTGTTTGCCTAATACCTGAATTCAAATAAATTATTAACCCTCAATCGCTCACCCGGGTCTGGCCAGACCTTTTTCGTTTTTGATCGTTAATTTGACACATTTCTAGTTTAGCTAGCGACTTGAGTTTTTAGTTATCTGCCTAAAATTTCATTGGCTATCGATCTAACAAAAGATCCATTAAAAAACAGTCCTTAAAAAGAATAAAATAAGGATATGCAAAAACTACACCTTCGACCGCTCACCTCGGGTCTGGCTGGACCCCTATGTATTTGTATGCATTTGTATGGGAATGAGGTATGCATACCATTTGATTTTTCACGAGACTGATAAAAGATAAGTAATATCTGTCTTCAGCAAAGTTATAGAGCAGGTCAAGTACTACAATTTATTTCAGTTCACCATCTCCAGTTCCGCGAAAAATGATAAGAGATATCTCGCGTTTTGCGCGGTTTTTTGCGCAACTGATAAGAGATAACCGACGCAGCGCCTTCTCTGCACTAACGCCAACTGCTGTTAGCAAGAGTCACTATAGTACAACCTACGTCAAATTCAAAAGTTTGTATATATATGTATACATGTGTCAGTTGCTTGTTGAGCGATTTTCTGTTCTCCAGCTCTATTTTATTTTTTTTCACTAAATAGAGTAAATATTTGTTGCGTAAAAATCAATCTTCTTATTTTTAAACGTAAAATCAAATTTTACAATAATACAATACAAGAGTACCCAGAAGGAATTTCACTGTTTTGAATAAATACGAACAAGTGTCGCTTCATTTGTTTACGTTCTGTTCACGATAATGTTGTTGTTTTTTTTAATCAAAAAGCGTATTTTACTGTTCATTCCGAAGCAAAAAATCAATTTTCTCATTTTAAAATTTCAAATAAAAATGTTTCCGTATTTTTGCGTATTTTTGTCAACACAAGAGTGACTAAAAAAAGTTCCATCGAGTTGTAATTTCATTTGTTGACATTTCATATTCCGGTTATTGGATATACTCGGGTATACTGTTATCAACTGTTTTGAATCGTTTCGAACGATTTTGAATGGTTGTTTTTTCTCACGAACATAAAAACGTGCTTGACTTCACTGAAGTCATTAATATCCCTTGATATATTTTCAAAATTAAAAGAAAAAATTATTTCATGGCTCAGAATCGAACAGCATTTCACTATTTACATCAATGTGTCATCATTTGTCATTTATCATCGGCTTTGTTACTCTTGTATTGACAAAAACACGTGAAAAAAATTGACTTTCCCGGACTTTACGTTTTAAAATCAGAACGTTGATTTTTCTGCATCGGATTAAAAAAATATTGACGTTCTTCAATAGAAAAAAAAAATTAAATTGAGCTGGACAACTGAAAATCGCTCGATGAGCAACTTAAACATGTATACATACGTATACAAGCTTTTGAATTTGACGTTAGTTGTACTGTAGTTACTCTTGCTAACAGCAGTTGTCGCTTCTGGGCTCGTTTGTATGGGAATTGACAACAAGGCGCTGCGTCGGAGATAACGAATCTATGTCTAAGCAAAGTTGTAGTACTTCATCTGACCTACCACTTTGTTGAAGACAGTCATCACTTATCTCTTATCAGTAACGTGAAATACGCGAAAAACCGCAGAAGACCGCTAGCATGATGGATAGTTTTGATTATCATTTTTTGCGTAACTGATAACGAGATAAAGAAGAGATAAGTGATAACTGTCTTCGACAAAGTGGTAGGGCAGATAAAGTACTACAACTTTGCTCAGGGCAGAAATTCGTTATCTCTTATCAGTTGCGCGAAACACCGCGAAAAACGTAAGATATCTCTTATCATTTTTCGCGGAACTGATAAGAGATAAGGAGATGGCGAATAGAAAAAAATTTTTATAACTTGCCCAATAACTTTGCTGTAGACAGTTATCACTTATTACTTTTCCGTACACACCGTGTCAAGGGAAAGTATAGGAATTGGTCCCGAAAACTTTTTTCGCAAAATTAGCTTAGATCATCATAAAAACTCATGAAACGCGTAGAAAACCACTTTTTGAGATACCTTTCCGTTCGTGTGCCGTCGTCGTTGTCGTCGTTGGTGTTTGTTAACACGAAAACTCAAAAAATAATTGAGATAATCAAAATCTGGAAATGCCAAAAGTGTTGTATCCAAAAAACTTAGTTTAATTTCGAAGATGAGCCATTTTCGATTTCACCCTGGGGTACTTGCCCTAAGATAAGGCTGCCAACTGTACTGATTTTTTCAGTAGACTAATAAAATTCGTAAAAAAAATTCGTGTGTCGGAAGCAAATTCTTGTTTACAC